TTGAATCTCTCCCTTGTGTTTTGTCATGATCCCTAGGCAGGCATTAGTGAACCGCCTTCCCAGACAGCGGACCCTGGCGCTGCCGTGAGGTTCCCACAAGAGTTGGGCTCTTTGGTTTATTTCCAGGCACATAGTAGGTGTTCAAAACATATTTGTTAAATGAACAAAAAGATTCCCATTTGCACTGGGGAACCACGTCGTCAGTGGGCTTAGCAAACTAGTTGGTACTGGTTCCAAATGATGCCTTGTTGCCCAGTGGTCATTGGGAATGCTAAAATTTAACAGGGACAAACAGTGTCAGGCATTCTTATTTCGGAAGAAAAGTTGTACACACCCCTAGGGATCCCTGAAGTTTAATTTTAGGCAGATCTAATCATTTCTTTTTAGAAAGGCCCAGTTTTAATTAACTGGTAGTGGCAAAACTTTTTTTAAGTTTTGAAAAAATGACAAATGTGAAAGTTGATAGTAGTACTTAGCCCTTCTTTAAAATGTGTTTCTGCTAAGGTTTATAATCACCAGATTCACAGAATGTTATATATATATGGGTTCAAAGGTTATTCCTTTCCAGGGTCAATATTGTTATCTTCCATCTCAGTAGAATTAGTAATGAGACAGCAGCCAGCACCTGACTGCAAATGGCTGACAGACACACAGCTCGTACAGACACGCCTGCCCTTGTAGGATAGAGATGCCTTAGCTGCTGCTGAGCACAGCAGGAAGGCACCTTGGGCCCTGAGTGATGCTGACGAGGGTAACACGTCTGTCCTGAGTAGTGTCTGTGAGACCAAGCCCCGTGAAGCGTTTAGCGCAGTCTTGGGTAAGTGTTCGCGGTAGTGTCCCTCCCACCTTCCAAGCGGCAAGAGTCTTTCCTGCAGTTCCTCCTTCCCCCTAGCTGTTCCAACAGCAGCAGGGCTTCTATCTCCTTGGCTTACTCTCCAGTGAGGAGGGAAGGGCCTGACCACTAGTTTCAGCGACTTGACCTGACTTAGGGAGACAAGTTGGTTGAGTTCTACTGATCACCATCAGGTTATCTTTTGGTTCATGATACATAATCTGAGGCAAAATATACCCAGGCCCTGAGCGTTGGTCTTTGTTTACAAGGGGAGGAAGCACAAGAAAGGTGCTCATGTACAGGCTGACACCTGATCACACAACTTTGAAGAAACCAGACTGACCGTTGGGATTGTGCCTTTTTAATTTTTTTTTAAACCTCTGTTCAAGAAATGTTTGAATTGAATTGCATGGTATTAGGCTCTCTCTGGAGGATGGCTTTTTTTTTTTTTTTTTTAAACCAGACTTTTGGAACACCTAGTTCAAAAAGAGAGAGAGTACCAGAATCTTCTACGGCAAACCCTAGAACAGAAAACTCAAGAATTGTATCACCTGCAGTTACAATTCAAATCTAATGGTGAGTGATTTTCCACTTGCTCTGACTTAGGTGTGTGTGAGACCATTCAAAATCTGGCTAGTATTCTCGTCAGCCTTGAAACAGTTGAGGTTATTCTCGATCAGACCAGTAAGTACTCCAGTAGATTCCGGAATACTGGTCAATAATAAAAAGGAACTATCAGTACATTCAAAACCAGATAAATCGTTAAGTGCATTATGCAACCGAGAGAAGCCAGATTCAAAAGGCTACATATTATGATTCCATAAATGTAGAACATTTATAGAATATTCTATTAAAGGCAAAACTACAGGGACAGAAAATAGAACTGGGGGGGGGGGGAATTGATGATAAAAGGCCACGAGAACGTTCTGGCGTGATAGAAACATCTCTATCTTGATTGTGGTGGTGGCTACGCGACTCTGCTTGTCAAAGTTCTCAGCACTGCATACCTAAAAAGGGTGGTTTACGGCATAAATTATACCTCAGTCAACCAGCCTTACGCATTTGGTGCCCAAAAGGGCTACAGGTGCCTCTTGGAATGGGGAATGGATAAGCTGTGAGGCCAAAAATCTCAGCATTAAAACCTATTTCCTCATTTGAATTCCAGTGCAGTTAGGGAGGGATATGATTCCTTAGAAAAGGCCTTTTAAAGATGGGAACACACATTTAGATCCGGTGGCAGGGTCTGGGGAAGGGGCGGCAGGCGCCATGTCGGGCCGCGAAGGTGGCAAGAAGAAGCCCCTGAAGCAGCCCAAGAAGCAAGCCAAGGAGATGGACGAGGAAGATAAGGCATTCAAGCAGAAACAGAAGGAGGAGCAAAAGAAACTCGAGGAGCTAAAAGCGAAGGCCGCGGGGAAAGGCCCCCTGGCCACAGGTGGAATTAAGAAATCTGGCAAAAAGTAAGCTGTTCCTTGTGCCTGAGGCAATGATGAGCCTTAGTTCCATTCCTGTTTAAACATCTGGATTAAACATCTGGATTCCCTGCCATAACATCTGTTGCCACCTATAGCTAGAATGAAGTGTTGTCTTGGAACCTACTGTACATTTAAGAATAAACTTTCGTTAAAAAAAAACACACATTTAAAGTAGGAGATAATTAGTTTGAAGTATCACAGGTAAGGAACATTTTTAATCTCTGGAAAGTGACTCCAAGGACTGGACTGTTTGCACAGTGTGTAGCAGAGCAGCTGAGCCAGGTTTAATCCATTTCCTTTTCACATCACATTCCGGAATAATAGTTTATTTCATCCAACTTGTTACTTGAAGAGTTTTGCTGTTACACATCAGTATACAACATAACTTTCTAATCATTACAGAGATTGCAGAGAACTCGGCCTCCCCTCCTCGGTCTTATGGGCAGAGAACAGATAAAGAGCTTGTCGACTGGCTGCAACTGCAAGGAGCGGATACGAAAACAATTGAAAAGGTGAACTTACAACCAAACAAACCATTCCTGTGCTATCATTACAGAGCTGCTTAGCTCTTAATGTATTTGATCTTTGTTTCAGATTCTTGAAGAAGGTTATACACTTTCTGATATTCTTAATGATATCACTAAGGAAGACCTAAGGTACCTTAGACTACGGTAAGAATAGCCTCAAAACACTTTGTGGAACAGAAAATGACTTTTTTGGTGTAATTAGGCTTTTTTTTTTTTGCGGTACGCGGGCCTCTCACTGCTGTGGCCTCTCCCTCTGCGGAGCACAGGCTCCGGACGCGCAGGCTCAGCGGCCGTGGCTCACGGGCCCTGCCGCTCCGCGGCATGTGGGATCTTCCCGGACCGGGGCACGACCCCGCGTCCCCTGCATCGGCAGGCGGACTCTCAACCACTGTGGCACCAGGGAAGCCCCTGTAATTAGGCTTTTAAGTAAAGCAGTAGAAAACAACGTGCTGGTAACTTTCCCCCCTTCATTAACGTTAACTCCCTTTTCTATGGCTCTGGTCAGAAAAAAAACTACCAACCTCACTCCAAACTCTGGAGTTTGGTTTTCAAGGTTAAAGTTGGGGAAAAGCTGAGAGGGGGCAGAAGCTAAAGGCCCAGTAGAAGTCAAGAGACAGGCCTGGCTGGGAGTGGAGTGAGGAGAGGCATGAGATGCCAGTGGGCTCCACCCAAACCCTTCTTTCTTTAACTTTTGCACCCTGCCTTCTCCTCCCCACGTCATCTTAAATAGCCTGCTCTGCACAGATGCAGCAGCACTCCTGTACAGTACCTCTCAGGCCATGTCCCACTCCTGCTAAGGCACAAGTGTCACCTCCATATGTGAAGAGAACATATTCCTATTTTAGTTAAGTAAGTAAGTTTTCAAGTTAGGGACTGCATTTTTAAGACTAGACAGCAACTCTAGACAAGTCTGGAAGGATATACTATAGCTTTTGCCGTAAGGGCTCCTAAAGTAGTATTAGTAGTATTCTGCCGTGTTGCTTTGAAGTTGTCTTCTCTTAGGACTCTCTGAAGAAGACTCCTGTTTGTTTCGTAGTGGTGGTCTCCTCTGCAGGCTCTGGACTGCAGTCTCCCAGTACAGAAGACAGGCTCAGGGGGCCCCGGCAACCCAAGATGAGGCTTAATCAATCAGCTAAGCCAGGGGACAGGGGGAGCAAAGAGCTGACAACATACACACGAATTCTGCTGCACTTACGCAAGGAAACCACCACTTGTTCAATGAACAATTTAAGAACTTGAAGTTTTAAAAGAATTATGGAAAAAATGTTGTTAACCTTTTATTGATTTTATCAACATGTTTTCAAGGTGAGTAGAACTTGTAGGTATTGTGAAAACAGTGATTGTAAAACCTGGCCTTGACATCCCAGAGTATTAGGGAATCCTTAAAAATGAATTTTAAATTACTTCAATGGAAACATATCTGCTGGAAAGGTGAAACAGGTGTTTAAAATAACAAAGGCTGGGAAATCACTGTTTTAGATCACACATTCCATACATACATTACTATTAACTGGAATTGCACTTAAAATTCAAAAAAGATAAAATTGATGATAAGAATATGCCTTGTATTTAATGTCTGATATGAATGTAAATAGAAAACTATTAAGAAAATAGCTTCATATTTATACTGAATGTATAAATGGAGAAAACTAACTTATTTGGCCTTTAAAATGAAGCAGTCTTATTTAAAAGTCGAACTGTCCTTCCACCCCTGCCTGGTTGTAATAAATACTGTGTTTTATTAAGGAGAAATGATGGTTCAGTGTGAACAGGCTTCAGCACCGACATGCACACAAATGGGGGCGTGTGTGCACGTTAGGGTATACACCAGGTAAGCTGCTGGGCACTGGGAGGGACAGGACAGTGATCGCCCCACAAAAAGGTGGCAGGGTTGGACAGGCGTATAAGGAATTGTTTTTCCTTTTAGTAACTAGTATACAACTAAACCAAATAGAACTATTTTAAAGAAGTAATTTTGAAGGAGGGTTAAGCAAACTCTTATTACCTATTTTAGACCTACGTAACTAAAATAACCTTTATAATAAGATCCATACTATCCTTAAGATATAACATTAAAAGACGTATCTTTTAATGCAGCACTGTACAAACCACATGCAATTAATTATACTATCTATCTATCTATCTATCTGAATCTACACTTTCTTTCTATGGGTTTTTTTCCCTCCTTAACAAAGTTGAGAACCCAAAGCATTCCTTACAGTTGCTGCCGAATAGCCCCACTGAAGGTGTAACCATCTCGCATTAACCGATGGACTTAAACTTGATCCACTGGTTTGCACCCCGGACTTCAAAAGGTGGATCGCTGCAGTAGATGTGATAGCCGAGTTCTTCCAAAGGTGGTTCAGGATCAGCTGTAGCAAACTGGGCAGCATCCTCAATTTCTTTCCTCACGTCAACATCAATTTCCTAAAAATCAGTCAGTCAGATGTACAGTTCGAGATATGTTTTGAATAGACAGCAGCTTAGGTACCAACTTGTTCTACTGGGAACCTGTTGCTAGTTGTTAACTCTTCTACTAATACTGGCAGTATACCTCCTATTACTGAAAATGTTATTTTAAAAATGACACAACGATCCACAAAGGATTCTGGAGGACAGATGCCAACATTAAGACATATACCCTGGCGAGGGAACATTTATGAATTAAAAATCTGCAGTATATTTTTAGGAAAGAAGAACTGTGATGGTGGAGGAGGTTAATGTCCCGTGAAAAATACTGCATTGGGGGTTTTCCCGCTAGATGGCTCGGAAAACCCCGAACGAACTTTTGGCCAACCCAGTACAATATGTACGTTCCCATTTACTTATTACCTAGTTTACCGAGCGGCAGCTTCTTGTGTAGAGAAAAACTGCTCAAAAAGGAGAGCCAACCTTCCAAGGCAGACTTTTAAACCATCAAGAGTCACTCTACCTTTAGTTCTTCAACACTGGCCAGATTGCTGTTCACCATCCTATCCTTGAGAAGCATGATAGGGTCACTCTTACTTCTAACTTCCTGAATTTCTTCTCGTGTACGGTAACTAGAGGGAGGGAAACAAGAGTTCCAAGTAGGTAAGAACAGTGCCGGCGCAGCAGAGACAGACAGCAGTCTGTTTCCGAGACGAAGGAGCACATCGTCAGTACTCATGTCACCGTAGGAAGGGCAGAATTACATACTTTCAAAATACGAGAACTCATCCTAATATTCTGTAAGGAAGAGCTGCTCTGTCTTTACAGAAAACTCTACAGTGGCAATTCACCTGGCTTCTCTGGCATTCTGACAACAGGGGCCAAGTTCCTATTTGCTGCTTCGATCTTGAGGTGGGGCGTGAAGGGAGTGGTGGAGGAGGCAGGGGAGATGGTTTTCTGTGGTGATTGATAGCTATAACCTTTGAGGCAGCAGAAGGCTAAGCATGAAAAAAATGTGCCTTGCCTTTTCTCCCTTAAGACCACAGAGCAGTGTGGCTGGCAAAAACTTGGGAGAGGAGGTTTTCCGATTCTTGATTATACGACTGACCCTTGTCCTACAGCACTTGAAATAATAACACTAAAAGCAAAGAAAGGCTCTACCATTTTTTTTAAGAACAGAATTACACCAAGTGCTTTCTTCCATTTAAGTTGCTGGTCATAACATTTTCCCTTAGACCTTCATTCTGTACTCGAAGACTTCTTATGGCTGGCTTTGACTAAATCTACTCTTAATTATGCCACACTCCGGGACTGCAGCATTACATGCCAGAGTTACCAGGTGACAAAACTCCTTTTTTTTTTGACTGATTTATTTCAACATTTGGAATGTCCCACGTGCTACTTGGTCTTGCTCCATACCAGCCAGAAGAGGAATATGCCATGAGAGAAGCTGGGGTAATGCCCACAAAAGGTAAATGCCCCCAAGTATACTACTCTACCATCAGTCCTGTTTTATGCAACAGTTCCTCTCTACAGTTGTTTTCTTATTGGTGCTCATGCTAACTAGCAAGTACACACTAGATAACTAGGAATTTTCAGAATGCTTTCTATATTGGAACCAATTTATTGGAAGGCACGGCTTTCAGGCTCAGACTAACTACTAAATCAATGCATGAAGCCAACTGGTGTCTGGCTTCAAAAGCAAACACACACTGAAATGCTTTGCTTTTTCATCTAAGTAGCACCATTCAAAGCCCATCCACTTCGGACACCACACTCAGTTTTCCCATGACCATACCTGACTCCGGGATCACTCATGCTGTGTCCATGGTAACGGTAAGTCTGCAGCTCCATCAGTATGGGCCCCTAAAACAGAGCCCAGTGGAGGTTAGGTGAAACAAGGGCCACAGCCTCAAATGTACGTCCTTTCAGGATCAAATACCTTCATCAGATCTGAGTTGTTAAGAATTTCTTCTTAGTTGACTGATTATCTCTTCTCATTTCTATTACCTATTTATTGCATGTTTCTTCTTCTTCTTTTTTTTTTTTTCTTTTTTTTTTTTTTGCGGTACTCGGGCCT